ATGTTCTGAAAGCCTGGGACTCACAGGCAGGGAAGTGCCAGGGGGCCTGGGGATGGAAGGTGAGAACCTCCAGAATGGAGATTCCCCTTCCTCTCACACCCTAGAGTACATGTCTCATTAGCAGTCAGCATTATTAGCTAGAAAATAAACCTGAAAATAAAGACAGATCATCCTGGACATTTTTGCTATTCTAGAGAAGAGAAGCAAAGGAAAAAGAAGGTAAGAGTCTACCCTAAATATACCAAGCACGAGTTTCCTCAAAAGGCAGCCCAAAATAGATGAAAGTCTCCAGGTTTTGAATCTGCTACGGTCTGTTAACTACAGGAGTCTCTGCTCACTTGTAAAATGAGGATAATGGTGCTTGCAATTTGGTCTAAAAACTTCTAAATGTGATTACAGCGAAGTTGTCCATACTTGCATGTAAATTTACCTAGTATTATAGCAGGTATTACTTTCACTCTCTCCTGTATTAAAGGCCAGTAATAATCTGGCTAGAACATAAAACATAGTTGTAAATAATCCCCCAGCACCTACACGGTGATCTATATGCACATCTGGAAGATTATGGTGTCACCTGTTAATAACAGAAGTCCCTAAATCAAATCTTTCATTTTGAACCCCAATCCAGAAATTAAACCCTATTGCAATTTCATCCTCTCCCAAAGTCTATTCCTAAACAGCCAATCTGGAGCTTACAATCAGCATCACGAAGGTAAACACCGCAAGACACCCCAGCCAAGGAAAGATGATTTTACCTGAAATAATCCGTGGTTTTCCAAATAACCTTGTCCTAGTCGCCATCTGCTACAAACACTCTCCTTAACAGACAATCCCTTGTTAGATCTAGAGTGGATGCTGCCTGACTTGGAATTGTTTAATAGCCAACTGGTAAGAGGAGGCCTCCTTCTCCCGGTGACCCTTCCCTCACTGACTCCCCATAAGGACCGCAGGCGAGCTCCTTCCAACGGAGATGCCCCGGGACCCCTTCACACCTCCTGGGAGCGCCTCCAGAGGAGAAAGTCAACTTGAAGAGCTGATGGAGTTAAACCATCAAAATAGCTGCCAGATTTGGCCTCACAGAGACTTTGCTCCCAGCACAGGGAAGGGAGGAGATCTGGTGCTCTGGCCCCTCGCCCAGGTCCCTCCAGCTCCCCTCGACTGCACAGGGCTCCTCAGATGCGCCCATTGTCTCCTGCTGAAGGAGCGTGATTCTCCCCAGCAGTGAGCAC